TTCTCCCTCTTCCTTCCCTTCCCCCCCCGCCCGCCGGGGGGGGGAGGGGCGGCCGCGTGGCGCTTTTGTTGCCGGCGGCAGCCGAAACCAAAACAAGGCCATTTTCTTATTGTGAATACTAATAAGGGAACCAAGAAATTTTAGATGTCACCAGTGAGAAGTAGTTCTAAAAAATTGTGTAAGACTCATGAAGATTATTATACTGTTCTTTGTCCTTCAGGGAATGATGTACCTGGAAGAGAGGAGGCTTGTCCACCGGGATTTGGCAGCCCGTAATGTCTTGGTGAAATCACCAAACCATGTGAAGATCACTGACTTCGGCTTGGCTAGACTTTTGGAAGGGGATGAGAAGGAGTATAATGCTGATGGAGGGAAGGTGAGTGCTGTACCTGTCTGGAAGTAAATATATCACTGTGACAAATGTCCTGAAGTTACTCCTCAGGGCAATGCATCCCTACAGGACTATTATCTAGATAAGAAAGTCTGTCAGTGACTTAGCAAACTGTGTTGTGACATCACACATAAAAGCTGCTCATTTTTTGCTCAGTGAGCTTCTCCAGGTGCCAAAATATAATAGTCTGAACAGTTTCCACATGCAGAATTAGGTTTTGTTTTTATGCTCCATTTTGTGTCTTTTTTTGAAGACTTCTGAACTCAGTTCAATGAGTGATGGATGCTCTAGGGCATTTCCGCCAAGCCCCTTTCTCTGGTCAGTATGGACCTCAATAACTTGCAGTCCCATTTTCCCACATACGTAATTTTCCAGAAAACAAAAAGAAAGGCCACAGAACATGTTTGTATTTGTAGTATATGAGAGTTAACGTATGCTCAACAAAGAGCCAGCTCTTCTATCAAATTGGAAGAGCCTGCATATGCTATTTCTTGCATCCAGGTCTCCAATACCATGCTGAATGCCAGGCCACTAAAAAGCCAGCTTGAGGATAATTTTGAAACCAGACATTTTCCCATACTACTTTTCAGCATACCGTGCAACATCCGCGTAGTGCCTCACCTCATTTCTAATGCCTTCAGATTAATGCATTATAAAATTCAGAAGGCTATAAGTAAAGGCTGTAAGCACATACTGCTACCTGCTGCTTCCTAAGCGTCTTGAAATTCCACATTTCAACCTGTCACAAAGTCTCAAGGGATTCTGTCTCTCCTGTCATTCCTTTTGCTGAATGTTCAGTTTGCTTTCTGTCTACTTGCTATCTGTGTTTTTCTGTACTCACTCATGCCCTTGTCTGGAACAAACAGCTGTTACCAGTGTGTGCTTTTCTCCTGGATGGGCTGCTGCCTTATTTGTGTGGCTACTACCTTTGGGAGCTGTTGCATGGATTACATTGGCATTTCAGTCAATGAGGTGAAGAGCTTGAAAGGAGTCACCAGTACTTTCCCATTTCCCCAGTAAAGAGACCACCTGGCAGGGAAGGTGGAGTTTTGGCAGTTTTCCCCATGCCTTCAGTTCTCTCATGCCCTCTTCAGTAACCCCTCCGCCTCTTCTCTCCATCAGCCAGTGAATGACAAAAAATGAGCTGGTCCTTGCACACCAGCTTTCCCTGGCAGCTGTTAGATGGTGTCTTGGTCTTGTGAGACCCATCACGCTACTGGGAGTTCTGGATCTGGATTTACACATCATATGTATCACTTCCCAGTTCCAGAGAAGTATTCTGTGAAATCCAAAAGAGAAGACCTTTGCAGATTAAAGTTGTATTGAGGGCATGCTAAGACAGATTCAGACTGGATAAAAGGAAAAACTTTTTCAACGTGAAGACAATGAAGCAGTTGACTGGGTTGCCCTGGGAGGTGGTACAGTTTCCATTCTAGGAGATTTTTCAAGTCCAAACTGGATAAAGACATGAGTAACTTGCTCTGATCTCATGGCTGAGCCTGCTCTGAGCCAGAGGCTGGACTAGAGACCTCCTTAGGTCATTTCCAACCTGAGTTATTCCATGATGAACAATGCAGCTTTGATACTTCAGCAGTTATTCATGTTTGGAACAACCCAGTCATATTTAATGGGAATGAAAGTGATAGACTTCTGCAGAGTTCAGTGGAGGAGTATGAACTGTCTTTGCAAGTGCTAAGCCACCCTTTATTAAAGAGTGCTATTTTTGCCATAACTGTATAGGTTATGTTCATTAGTCAGCTTCATGGAAGGTATTTGCATAAGGGTTTGAATGAGAGCACATCCTCTGCTTTTACACCCACCATCTGTTCAGATATTGCGTGCAGTCACAGAATCACAGAATCACAGAATGTTCGGGTTTGGAAGGGACCTCTGTGGGTCATCTAGTCCAATGCCACTGCCGAAGCAGGGTCACCCTCAGCAGGCTGCACAGGGCCTTGTCCAGGCAGGTGTTGAATATCTCCAGAGAGGCAGACTCTACAACCTCCCTGGGCAACCTGTTCCAGTGCTCCGTCACCCTCAGAGTGAAGAAGTTCTTCCTCAGGTTCAGACGGAACTTCCTATGCTTCAGTTTCTGCACGCTATGTTATGCATCTTTTTGGTTTATTCCTGTATGTCTTCCATAGTTCCAAATTAGATGTGACCCATACAAGTCCATGCCACATGAAAATCTGTTAAGAGTATGTCCATTAGAGATTAGTGGACTGCAAGACTGTGTCTCACAGGCCCAGCTCAGGAATAGGAAATAACATGACTCTCATTTTAACACAAACTCAAGTGGGTAGACCCTTATGCCAAACCTAGGTTTGTGTTTGCCTACACATTGTTCTCATGATCCTCCCCCCCCAAGGGTGATTCACAGCTAGAGGCTAAGTTGGGACTTTTTACTTGCTTTCGGGAGCAACTTTTCTCACTGCAGTAGTGATACAAAGAACTGGGAAGGCTAAGTTTCTAATGACTATCAGGAGCTAGAAATTAAGCACTGTAAATTCTCCTCATTACCTGTTTACTCTGATGATGATTATGTGGACTGTGAGGTATTATGGACACTGCGTTATTAACTAGCCTCATTAGAGAGCAATCAAGATAGCAGTGTCTGGTTTCGCAAACTTGCGGCAAAATTGTTGCTTCTGTATTCCTCCTTCTCTGCTGTACTTCAGATTTAGGGGAATTGGATGTCATTTTTGTGCTGGTCCCATCTCTGTACAGATATGATGAAAAACTGAGTCGTTCCACTATATCTAAATCAGTAAAATCTGGGTGGTATGAGAAGCTCTGCAGATAACTCACCTCCATATGTTTTATGAGGCAAAACCCTATTCTGGAGGGAAGGAACAACCATTTGCTCTGCTGGGTGGTGCTGCTTTTTTTTAAGCTTGCAGCTGAAAAAGGAAACAGGGAGGAAGCTGATGTCTACATGCAGGATCTGACTGTATTGTTTTAATATTATATTTCTAAGGTTGTGTTTCTTTTGACTTTTCCTAGATGCCAATTAAGTGGATGGCTCTGGAGTGCATACACTACAGGAAATTTACCCATCAGAGTGATGTGTGGAGTTATGGTAAATACTTACATAATCAATTTAATAATTTGTCTCTTGTAAAACATTAAACCAAGTTGTGTTACTATATTAAAGATACCCTCTTTTCCTAGAGGAGTTAATTCCAGTGGTTTTTGCTCTCACATTCCCCACCCCCACCCCTTCCCCAAACGTGTAACTAGACAGCAATTGTTACTCCTCTCCTGTGTTACTTCCCTGCTCACTAAAATACATTATCATGATGTCCCTGCTGGGATGACTGCTGTAAGGTCTGGTCTGGTAGCAGTTTGGCTGATTATTATGACAGAAGAAGGCCTCTTTCAGCTCAGTCACAGATTCATAAAAATACAGCTGCAGGTCATAATTTTCAGCAGTCCTTTGAAAATCTTAACTCTAAAAGCCATGAACGTCAAAAAACATTTTCAGGCTTATGGGACTTTCTGTACCTACAGTCAGATAAAAGGGAATTTGTCATAATACAGAGCAAATACAGCAAGAGAAAGAAAAGAAAGAGACAAGCTCTCCAAGCTAACTAAAACAAGCATGCATTTAATTTCACAGATAACTTGGGAATTGGTTAGACAGGTCAGCTCATGTGGACTCTGCGCACACCAAAAAAATAGTCACATCTGAGAAATTAGATGTTCATTTACTACTGTTAATTCTGTTATCCGGACGAATTATTGTGCCACATCTCCTGAGCTGTCTGCCTCTTTATCTAGTGTAGCTATTCCTAATAAAATCATATCTACCTTTGTAAGTGGAATTTTTGAGCAGTATCTAGGGCAATGAACTGCTATTTGCACTTCCTGTTGCCATATCATTTTGAAACAAAAAAGGGTACAGTTCTATTCATTACTCACTTTTACCTGTGGGTAGCAGCAAAAGACACTTTGCTGTGACTGGTTAGCTACCCTATTCTACTCAGCTGAGAAAAACATGTGAGAGTTAAATCGATCATGTAAAGCTGCTCTTTCTCCTTAAATTCTGTATACCTTGTATCACTTATGAAAAAATATTACTCCATTTATGAAATTCATTTTAAATACAGGAAACCCAGAATATCTATAATCAGAAAGGACAAGACCAAAAACAATTGACAGGTTATTGTTGTTGAACATCAATAAAGAGGTGAATGAGAGTGAAGTAAATACGTTTTATACAAATGGTAATTTTGCCCACCACCTTTCACACTAGCGTGACAGCTGGAAAAATATGGTTACTGATCTAGAGACATGTTTAAAATGACCTTTGCAATAAAAATAAAAATTAAAGAAACTGGTGTGAGAGCAATATTTTCAATATTTAACATTTTGCTTGGGGATGAATTCTGTTACGTATGATATATGATCTTTATTTCCAGCTCCAATACGAAAACAAATCCTGTGGTGATTCAAAAAGAGAATCTTGATTTTGAAGCACAGCACTATCGTAACTCAAATCCATAAGGTGATTTAAGGAAAAAACTAATACAAGTGGCTGTGAATGACTTACAAGACAAAGACAATAACATAATGTTACTCAGTGCAGTACCTTTGTGGGAAATTGATGCTCTCAGTTAGGGAAAATCTGCGTTTTTTCCCTCTTAAAATAATAGAGTACATTAGCCATTCATTTTCCCTTTTGATATGATAAAAGAGCATGATGTGTTCTTTTGTTATTACATCCATTTACTTTACTACCATTTATTTGTCTTAGACTTTTCTCTTGTGCCTCCAATCTATCCTGCTGCTTCGTACACCAATAAAAATGAGGGGAGTTGCCTTTGAAGATTAACACAAAGTGCTGTTTCACCATTTTCTGGAGCTTTTTAAATGGCAAACTTCAGTGTTTTTACAGGCATTGGTAATGAAGAAGGGGTTGAAGCCCAGAACTGGGCCAGAATACCACGCTGTAAGAAATTGTGAAGGAATCTAAGTAGTATGACCTCAAATATTATCACTCTTTTTTTCTGTCTAGGAGTCACTATCTGGGAGCTTATGACCTTTGGTGGAAAGCCGTACGATGGAATCCCAACTCGAGAGATCCCTGACCTCCTGGAGAAGGGAGAGAGGTTGCCCCAACCTCCAGTCTGCACTATTGATGTTTATATGGTGATGGTGAAGTGTAAGTAATTGTCACTTTTCGTATCACTATGCTCAATGCAAGAGGGACTGTATTTTAGAACATTTGCATCTATAGTCTCTGACAGTGCTGGGTAGTGCTGGTAGTTGCAGGCTGCTTTGAAACAAAAGCTTCCCAAGATACTGTAAATTCTATTTAAATACTGTATGCACATTTTTTTTGCAATTGCAAAAGATACAAATTTTGTCATGAAGGGTTCAGTTAGCTCAGCTTCTTATTACTGTAAGATGGCATCTCATATTCTTGCTGTGAAGTCAAAATTGTATGACTGTTATTGTAAACCGTTGTCATTTCCATGACAATCGATTTTGATGGTAAAAAAGATAGTATTAAAGATAATTATGGTACATGGATACCCAGCCGGTGAGGGCTGTGAGGAGAAACGCTGATTCCAAAAGTTGAGGAAAGAAAGCATGAATGTTTTACTGTTAGTAACAAGAATGATGATTGCAACAGTAATAATAAAAAGTTAAATTAAACTAATAAAAGAAATGCTACAGAAAGGATAATTTTTTATCATTCTTAGTCCAGTGCAATAATTTATGAATTTACTGTAGAAAAAAAAGGAAAACAGTCTGACATGGTTTCTTCCTACCCTTTTATCTCCAAGATACCCACACTAGTCACACTAGTGACAGTATGCTCCAAGGCTATGCTTCTAATTTAAAAAGAATTAGGAACATCTCTCTGGTGTTTCTGACTTAATTTAAGTGAGATTAACATACAGCCATCTCATACATCTTACATGGTCCTTTCACTTTTGCTTTGTACACAAAAACACAGAAAGGAAATAGAATTAGAAGAGGTAAATAATGTCTCTTCTGAAAATAGTTATCCTGTGCATGCAGGTATGGAAGTTGTCTGAATAGTGCAAGGGGTTCATGTTGATTGAGTGCAAAAATGGTCCATCTGATAGGATTTCTAATGAGTAAGAGGTGAATCTCAGTGGACAAAAGGAAGTCCTTATAGATGGGGTATTCTGGAAGATGGAAAGTCACAGCTAGACGTACAGACTTAGTCCTGTAATGTTTGCGTGAAATTCTTTTTAAGGTGTAGTGGCTTTGTTTTTCCTGCGTTGGTTACTTCTTCAGTTAAACAGCATGAAGGAGTTAAGGCCTGCTTCGTTTAGCCTGCTTGGCAAAGGAGAGTATGTTCTTGGGAAGCTGCTCACAGGATCTTCCATTAGAAAAAGCTGACACTGAGATAAACTAGTTGCTGGTGGTTATTACCTATACTACTTGCTTGTTTTGCAGAAAGCATTAGCAGGGATTGAGAATTGTTGTTCCTAATGAATGTTTCTTGGAGAGTGAAGGACAAAAGAATCACCTTTAGTCAATTAAAATAGCATCTAATGCCTTGTGTAAGATCTGTGTTAATGATGCAGACACATGAATGCAGAATTACCTGAAAGGCAGATGTGAGGTCAGTCGTCCTGTAGATCTGTTAAACAGCTCTTTATAATATAAATCACTGTGGAACAGTAGGTAGGTTAAAGTAAAATTGTATTCCGTAGTAACTTTGTAATAAACCCACTAGACTCAGATGAGGTCAGATTCGTTATATTAAAGGTTGGACACATCCATAATAAAAGCCAGTTGGAGATGACATCTAAATGGGCAAGATAGGCACAGGAAATGGCAAGGCATTGTTGCTGTCTCTATTTTGGAAATGGGGAGCAGGAGCTCAGAGCAAATTAAGAAGAAATCTGTGTAGTGTGAAACATTTCCTCTCTGGCCAAGACCAGTTTTCCATTTTAGATGCATTCAGAGAGTCCTAGCTTTCCATTCTTCTGGGCTCTTTATTGCATCTTGTCTTTAAGCCAGAGCTATCAAGTAGATCTTTTCACTTGAATCTGATGCATTTTTCAAAACCAAATTACTTCTTCCCTTGCAATTAATTGTTTTCCTTCTCATCTTACATCTGTCCCCAGGCTGGATGATTGATGCTGACAGTCGGCCCAAATTCAAGGAGTTGGCTGCTGAATTCTCTAGAATGGCTCGAGACCCTCAGAGATACCTAGTAATTCAGGTAATCAGCTCTGCAACATCATGGGGAAAAATAAGAATTCTGTCTACCAAACTTGATGGTTAAGGGAGTTGCCTTTGAATCTCAAGGTGCTCTTCGACTTCAAGCAAACAGTAACCACAGTACTATACTAGAACAAAGTAGAATGGCCAATATCAGTATCTCAAAAATAATAATAATGAAATAATCTGAAATTCACTTCGTAAGGTTGTATTTATGAGCACATATACAAGATCTGGCTTTGCCAGCTGCTGAGTGCTTTTCATTCTCTCAGGAAACTGGGGACAAGATTTGTCCAACAGTGAACAGCAGACCTACTTTAGACCAAGGACTTGCTTGGTTCTACTATTGCTTAGGCTGAATCTCTGATTGTCCTGAAGAGACTCTTCCCTGCACTGCTGAGATCATAAGAAAGTTTCTTTTTGTAGCCTGAGGTTTCTCAGAAGACAAGTAGTTGTGTCACATTGGTACCTCTCTCATGCGAGAGAGGAGCGTCCCCCTGTATCCTCCTTAGGCTGCGTAGGCTCTGTAGTGCTTCACAATCCCTGCAACAGACCCACACCAGCGCAGTTCGTCACATGAAACTACACTGTGGGAGCAGGGCAATACCAATATAGCTGTATCTGTTCACTGCATCTGGCTGGAGCTGTGTATGCCCTGAGTACAGGCGTATGTACATTCTGCAGAAGCCTAGAGTTGTGTATGAGTTAATTACAGCTCGGACTCAAACCACAGAAAATGAATCCGACTATTTGGTAGGGTCCTTAGGTGGTCCCAGTGTGTGAGCAGTTCAAACAAAAATGAAAAATTAAAAGTAGTAGGGTGATGTTGAAACACCAGAGACCAAAGCATGGAATTAATCAGGTAATGATACTCTCATGCTAGATCTCATGCTATATCTGCTCCACATCATGGAGTACAGTGCAGAGATACATCCAGCTGTCCTTGGCTTCACACTGACTTAAGAATTCCGAGCTGAAGAGCCTCCAGAAGTACAGTCACTGCCACTTTATGTCTCCTGATTACTTCTGGGTCTAGTGCTAGGCTCACCGTATAGTGTTTCATTTCACTGTGTAGACATGCTAGCCTACTCATGGTGTATTATTGCACAGTGTGAATGTTCGCTACTCTCATTCACCTTTAGGAGAAGTAAAATATATTTGAAAAGTAAAATACTAGTGAAGAAGATTTATGGTGCAGAGTGTGAAATTTCTCTTGCAGTATTCCCCACTGTGTTAAATTGTACGTTCAGCTGATAGAAGTGATTCTGGAAAAATCAGTCTGATTTAATTACTTCGTTAGATAGGACATGTTTCCCTACTCCAAATACCTCTTCCCTCCCTTTCTCTCCCCTGCCCTTCCCTTCCCTTTCCTGTTATATAGTCTGGTGGGCGTTTCATCCTGTGAGGCTTCTCCAGTGATCCTTGCAGACAATATAGGCTATGTGCTTCTTGAGGAGAAACCAAGGTAACTCAGTTGCACTGGTATCTCTGCCATTATGACTCCCCATTCCCCTCAGATGCAATGAAGAATGACGAGCTTGCTGTTGAGCTTTTAAACTGGTCTGTATGCACCCCGTAGCACAGTCATGATTCCCTGCTGGATTCCACATGTGGCATAATAATTCTTACGGAGTAGGAGGCCATTCTTTCACCATGCAGTTAAGTTAGCATCGTTTCTATGGGCTGTTAGGTGTTTGAGGCATGGGCTGCCTTTTGTGGTGTTTTGTGACACCAAGCAAAGCAAAGATTTGCCTCTCCAGCTCATGGATGCTATTTCAGTAAAAGTACGTCTCATTGTTGCGGTTGTTGCCTGGTTTGATTTTAATTGCTTTCATCTCTGTTACATTCTGCAGACCTTTTCGTATGGATGAGAGGGAAATTTGGCCTCCAAGTCCCTAAAAATACAAATAAAAATAAAGCAAGCACCCAGACACAGCAGTTTCCATGTTATTTTCCTCCACCCGTGTGAGCCTAAATAACTGAGATATTTCACAAAATACATCAGGCCTTGACAGAACTTGGGTCAGAAACTGAACTTGTATGGGAAAAAGATAAGAAAGAATAAAAGCTCAATCACAAGAACGCCAAAAAAATGGCTTTGCTTGATTTATACAGTTATTCCCTTTCTGTCATATTCCCAGTAAAAAAATCAAAACAAATGATGTGGATGTGGTGCTTTAGAACAAACAAAGAAGCATGTGTGGTCCCTGCAGCCTGGCTGCCCGGGCATGAAGAAGGCTGAAGATCCCTGTTGGGAAATTAATCCCTGTTTTGACCATTTTTCTCTCTCAATGCAAACTATTTAGGGAGATGATCGTATGAAGCTCCCAAGCCCAAATGACAGCAAGTTCTTCCAAAACCTTCTCGATGAGGAAGACCTGGAAGATATGATGGATGCTGAAGAGTATCTTGTTCCTCAGGCCTTCAACATCCCTCCTCCCATCTACACCTCCAGGACAAGAATTGATTCCAACAGGGTAAGAGCAAGCTCTGACAGAAAATACTGGTTATTATAAAAGCACAGGTGGAGATTTAAGCACACTAATCAAACACAGGGCAGAGTTGCCTTCGGAATGACAAGCTCCAGTTGTAAGTAGAGTGACTGTAGAAGCATTGCCACTGGATTCCCTGTTTATGCGCCTTGGTGAATTCTAAATTAATAGCTGAGCCTTGAGTGAACAAAGGCTCGACTTGAACTGGCTGTCCCGAAAGCACAGCTGAGGCTTGTGAAGTCAAGCAGTGTTGTTTCTCGGTAGTGTACAGTACTGGACAGGAAGTGCATAGCTCTGATTGTCCCATCCCTGCAATCCTGTTGTCTTGACAGGGTTGGCACTGGTGTAACTGAGGGCAGCTGGAAGGTGCAGATAAATGCTGCTTTTGTGTCTGGAACCAGATTTCAGACCCAGCCCCTTTTCCTGTTTATATTGGCTCTCTCATGGCCCTGCTTCACAGGCATGTGTTTTTGCTGAGCACATCGCAGATTTTAGTGTGTTGATCTTCATAACATCTCTGTCAGAGGAGGAAATGCTGTTCATTTTACAGAGGGAACCAAGGCCTAGAGAGTGTTCAGGTGGAACTGAGCTCACAGAACTCTAACCATCAAAAGAATAGGAATATAATCTAAGCTCTTCATCTAGACTTCATTTTGTGTCATTGGAGAAGAGTGGGTGCGTCCAGTGGGTGATTATTGATGTCTGCCTTGGACATTTACAGTAGGATAAGTTACTTTCTGGAGTTGTCTCTTTCTGTCCACTGACTACTGACAGCTACAGAGCAGTCTCAGACCTCGTGCGTGAGCTCTGGTGAATTGGATGCTGTCCTAAAATGCCTCATTCTTAGTGCCACAGGAGCCCTGCTGCAGGTGAGAACCTGAGTTCAGGTTTCCAGAATTCCTTTTCACTCCTGAGCACCCTGCCCATAGCTGTGACCTCTGCCTGTTCCTGCACTTGGCTCTGTCCTTTTAACAGTTTAGGTGCCACCCCTTCTCACAAAACTGAGAGAAGGTGAAATGCATTATTAATGTGAGGGCATTTGCACAAGCATCAGGTGTATTTAGTAATAAGGGACTTGTTTGTTTGCTTGGTTTTTTCATCTCCAGGCTCCTTTTAGCTAGAAGTCACATTTTAAATACTAAGTGGAGTCTCATTGAAATGTTGGTGTTTATTATTCATGGTTTAGAAACCTTTTTGGACATTTGTCCTTAGCCGAGGTAGTTCCAGATTCACATGCTGGTCTGAAGTGGTTAAACCATGTGAGGCAGGGAAGAGGTAAGGGAAGGAGCTGAAAGTGTATAAACCCAGTCAGTATTCATGTTCTGACCATACACTGCATGAAGTTCTTTCACCTCTCCTGAGTAAAGCAGTGATTTTCTGGAATAAGGAAGACAAAATCTAATCTTAAATAATATCCAGTCGATTCATAAGGAAGCTGATATTGTTTTTAAAGGCAAGGAGACTGGAGAGGTCTTTGGAAGAGGCTAGTTTGCGGTTCCACTGGCTAAGCTGGATTCACATAGTATTTCTCCTGCATCACTGGAAGACAATGAGGGGGGAATGATGCATGATTTAGCAATAAGCGAGGAACTTCCTCTTTATGGCAGCAAGAGTTAACTTTTAGTGTTTACTATATTCATCTCACTCCCATATTTGCTGGAAACACTCGGGCACATTTAAAGGAGAAAGAATTAGTAGGAAAATGTACTTGCCTTTTCAGCCGTTCCTTTTGTCCTGTGTCTTTAGTGCCAGCCAAGCCGAGGGAATTAATTCCAACAGAAGCTGTAGAGTAAGTATTCTGAAAGAGTTGTTTAAAACGTGCTGTTTGGGCAACCAACATGGCCACTGGGGTATTCACGGAAAGAAAACACAGGCGTCGGTGTCGTCATTATTATTACTATTATTAAATTTAAGTAACTTTTTCACAGCCTTTGCCCAGCTTTAAACAACACTGTTGCAGCCATTTGCACACGTGATCCCCTTGAAGTCAGCAGAGCTGCAGAAAAAGTCCCCGTGCCTATATTTTTGCCACACAGAGAGGCTCCATCACATTCTTCATGTGATGCCTCCTCTCCACAGCTCACAATTTCCTGTCTTGGTTTGAGACTGTGGTCTTGTACCACTAAAGTCAGTGGGAGCTTTGCTTTGCAATTCAATTTAATGATAGTACTGAGACTGTATCCTTCTTTCAGTAACTCCTACTGCTGGGAATTTTTCTCCGGCATCATAAAACAATCTAACACTTAAACAAATCTGGTATTATGCTTTGCCAAAGTTTTCAGACTCTGAGCCAAGGGACAGAAAACTTGCACCCAGCTCTGTATTTTTGCACCGCTTACATCGTCCATAGTGTTTATTGTAGGCGCCTCTTTATGGAGGAGTCATTTTCAAGGCCAAAAGAAGTGATGGGCAAAGAAGTTACCATTAAACAACCACCTGATTTATAATAGCACTTTCTGGTATCATTGGAGACTGACTCCTGTCCTGTAACAAGATTACCAGTAGAATTTTAACACTTGTCTGGCGTCTCAGATTAGCTTCAGTTTCAGCTTTGTTTGCTAACAATTCTGCATCTTCTAAATGTGCTTCTAGTGCTGCCATATAGGCAAGTATATCCAGATTGCAGGAAGGCCACAGCACCATGTTGCTGGAGGAGCTTGGGGCCAAGTGGACAGTCCCATAGCATCTTAGCATTCCTGGTTTCCTTTGCAGAGAGGTTTTTTTATGGATGTAGTACATTTGTTTCCTCTCTGTGCAGAAAGCTACGTCTTTGTCAGTTGTTTTTTTGAAGCACTCATATTCTTGGTATGTTAACTATTCTTCCTGTGAAGATTCGTGTTGATTTAAAACAAAATACACAGTAGCTCCTTTAAGGTAATAGTCCATCTGCTGTGCATAGTTCAGTACAGATGAATGTCAGCTACATGAATCACACAGAACTGAAATGCTGTCAGAGTTCTCTATCTGCTGTTGTCTGATTCTGTCTTTGTGTTTCCTTTGGATAGTTTGTGATTTATGCTTGCTTCGTGTAGTGAATATTAATATTACACAAACTCATTATGGTGCTGCTACAGCCATAGATGCCAGATGAATTGATACAGCTTAGGTAGTTTGTGTTCACTAGGCCTGGCAAATTAAACTTTACGGGGAGACTGCCAGGCAGTTTAGTCAAGTAAAACACACAGACAAGTGCCACACAATCTTCAAGTCATTTTCAGAAATCAGAAGCATGAAAGATAGTGTATTTCCTATATTAGTTGTTCTGATTGTAGTTTTAGAGAAGAAAGAGTCGTTGTGTGATGGTAGGGTATTCTGCTCCTTCTCTGGGCATGTTGTACTGATAAGCTATAGTTGAGTATTCCAGCAGTGCAGCTCTACTGGGGACAAAAGTTTGCAGGGAGAAAACAGGGAGATTGTGAGCCTGCTCACACTTAGGCTTTGAAGTCAGTGAGTTAAGGAAGACCAAGTTTATTTGCTTTCTGAGGAAAGCACTGAAGTTTCTCTAGGGTGATCTCAGTCCTAAATGCTTGCAACTTGTTGCCTGGGAGAGGCACCACTGGATAAGGTCTGTGTAGAACACTGTCTGCCTTCTCCCTCCCGTGTGAAGAAAAAAGCTATTTGGATATGAATTAATAGCACAAAGCTGCAGCCCATGGAAAGAAGACTGGAAAGAGGGAAGCCTTCCGTGGATTTACCAGAGAAGTGTCACATCCTTCTTCCTTCAGGGATTACTGAGATTTATGAAGCTGCGAGGCTCAGGCACAACTTTAGCACTTCCATCACACCCACACTGGCTTCTTAATATCACTTCTTTGAGATCTGCACTGCCAGGAGCAGAAGCCTGCAAGTGGTCTCACCCATAATGGTGCCCTCTGTTTTGAAGCTGAGCCTGAGACTGATGCAGCTTTTATTTAAAAATTAGCATCCTAAGCTGAATTGAATTCTTGCATTGCATCTGAGACTTTTCAGTTGCAATTTCAGTTCTTCGGCTTTCTCCAGCTTTCATTTTCTGTTGTCTAGAGATATTCTAGAAATATGGAGTTTTAGAAGCTCTGTGCTTCTGAGAGATAAGCTGGATCTTCAGCAGTGTTTCCATGAGCACAGGACCCCAGCTAGTGCTCGAGTGCCCTGCATTCATAGCCATTAGATGATTCATTCAGGTATTTGTAACGAGTGCTGTCCTGTGTGCACAGAGATAATACCAATACAGACAAGCACTCTGTGTAACCCATGATGCTTTTTGCTCGAAATCCATGGCTAATTCCTACTGGAAATCATCTATACTGTTTATTACTCACTGATACTGTCCCTGTAATTTTATTCCATACGCTATATATCATGGAAGCAGCTGGCAACCCTGCAATTAAATATCAAGCTGTTTTTTCCAGAGGTGTCTAATTAATATATCCAGATAGACTGTTCTGCTTTCTGGCAAAAGCCAGTTTTCAGTTCCCTGAGTAGTGTCTGTTATGCCATTGCATCGGTCCTGGTGCGGCTTTAGGTCTGGTAATGTTTCATGGCTGAACGTCTGTATATGTCTGCATACAAAAAGATTATTTGAGAGAGAAACCAGGAGAGAAGTTATCTTTATGATTTATTTGTTCCGTTTTCTAAATTTGAAAGGTAGCTATTTTCAAATCAGAAGATTACAAAGGAGTTGGTTGTCAGTGATTTTCAGATGGCATATGGCATCTTTCCTTCCAAAGCTTATCATGGACAATAGGAACTATTTACCCAGTGGGATTGCTACCAGAATTAAGTGACTTTTAGTAGATTTTTAAGTAACAGGGCTGAATTTCTTAGGCGCTTGCAGTGCTCGAGTGGTAGAAGATCAGATTTAAGGTCTAAATGATGTTCTTTACATACTCAAATACAGCAGAATTGGAACATGTGGGACTGTAAGCATCACTGTCTTCAGTTACAGTTCGAAGGAGGGATTTTGGAAAGCAGACAGAATGTGGAAGGGCACTTCCCTATGTGCCAGC